ATTTGGTTCAACCATAGTAGTACAGGATACTTACCTATTTGCTTTAGTGTTAAATTAGAAAAAGATAATCACAACTGTTGAAAAATAAGATTATGTATTTAAAAGTAGTACAGGGTGATCTATTATAAATGTCACCCCCTGCTACCTTTTTCATTTGACGTTTTTGACAGAAGTGTCAAATACAAAACTTTTAGGAAATTGTCAAAAGTTTCTAACTAAGTCAGTTTTAGGCATACAGGGTGCGCCAAAAAAGTGCAGCAGTGTGAAGTTATATTTTTTTAAATGGAACGCCTTGTATATTGTGCGCTTATTTGTTAATCCCTTTTAACCTGATTTCAACGATATACGGTTTGATATGTCTATCTCTCGGTTTATCTCCAATAGTAATAGGGAAAAACGCGAAAATCCCTTCCTAGGTCTCTCATGTTATTTTTTTTTTATAATAATGGTAACTTAGACATCCAGAATTATTTTAATATTTCACCTTGTATATTAATGAATAAAATTTGAACAATAAACTGTTCATAAAAAAATTATCTGGAGCTTAAATGGTATAGTTTTTCTTTTTTCATTATGAAACCTTGAAAGGGATGTTCATGTTTTTTCCTAAAACTATTGAAGATAGACATATCAAACCGTATATCGTTGAAATCAGGTTAAAAGGGATTAACAAATAAGCGCACAATATACAGGGTGTTCCGTTTAAAAAAATATTACTTCACACTGCTGCACTTTTTTGACGCACCCTATATGCCTAAAACTGACTTAGTTAAAAACTTTCGACAATTTCTTGAAACTTTTGTATTTGACACTTCTGTCAAAAATGTCAAATAAAAAAGATAGAAGGGGTGACAGTTATAATTGATCACCCTGTACCTTCATTGAAACAAAAAAAAAAAAACTTCAACCCTAAATTATTTTTTAGTCAGAAATAAGTTTAAAAATGTCCCCTAACAGCCTTCTCGATCACAAATTTTTTTGTTTCTCACCCAGTCGTTAAGACATAATAAACATCGTGCTGGTTTCGCGAAAGTCCGGCTACTGTATATATTTACATTATATGTGTTCTTTGTCTGCACCTGCGAGACTCTTGCACGAGACTCGAGACTCTCGCTCGAGATTCGAGACGAGACCAATGAAAGTCTCGTCTCGTCTTGTCCGAGACAGTCCGAGTCTCGTCTCAAGTCTCGTCTCGAAAACGAGACGAGACTATGCGAGACTCTCGTGGGAATCACTACAAAAGTGTCCAGATTGGACAACCCTGCACATATCAAAAAACCGAAACTAACAAATAAAAATACCTATTCCAAATAAAAATATAGGACATTTATCTGATAAAAACAAAACGATAAATTAAACAATAGTGTAGCTTGGACAATTTTTCTATCTATGATTTTTTTTTAGAAAAATTAGTAGTTTTTGAGGCTTTCAGGGGTGGGCGCGCCCCCCCCCCCTCCTGGATCCGCCATTGGTTCTCAGAATCTAGTAGTATGCGGACACTTTATACTGATGTGATAGTACTATGTATAGCTTTTTACTCATGGCTCAAATCTTTTGGTACTCAAAATCTATGGGTTCTCTTTGGATCAGGTTTAAAGAGACGATATTTGTCAGTACACCTTATAGCATATAAGTCGCTCTTCCCTCTAATCCACAAAATACCATTAATACACTTAACTTAAATAAATTCATATCTTAGATATTCTTGGCGATAAGGCTAGTGCTCCTCCGGGGTTACATGCTTTTACAGGGTGTGATACAGTGTCTTTCTTTCCTTTAGGGCCAAATTATGGACTGACTGGTACCTAGCAGGTACTGTCTATGCTTTAAATAACAGTAGGTCCATAATTTGGCCCTTACAAAGGTAAAGAGTCTGCCTCTAAAACATGGAATTCTCAAAGCAATAATGCAATAGCTAAAGCGTTTAAAGCGATTTCATGCCCACTGCCTTCCATTCCGGAAAATGTCATAAAAAACCTTGGCATGGGGCTGTCATGAAAAGGGCACGATGTGGACCCAGGGCCGTACCTAGGGGGGGGTTTTGGGGGTTCAAACCCCCCCCCAAAAAAATAATAAAATTCAAAAAATTTAACTCAAAAACAAACAACACTTATTAAATACTTATTTTTTTTTTTTTATTTTTATTACTAATGTAACAATTTTTTTTTGCCACTTTGTCTAACCCCCCCCCCAAAATTTTGGTCTAGATACGGCCCTGTGTGGACACCTCTATGGTCTGTTCTTTCAAGTATTTGGAAGACTTGTCAAGAGCTAGCTAGATGCTCTTGTAAAATAGGATGCAGCACTAATCGCTGTAAATGCAGAAGAAGTGGCCTTCCATGTATACTCTGCAAAGACATGGTGCACCAACAAGATAACTGAAAAGTTAGTACTTTCAAATATTTTCATTTTAAATTAAAACCAATTCCTAACCATTATTCTTATTTTGTTTTGGAGTTTGGAAAATTCGGAAGACTAGGTGCCGGTACTTTTGTTCTTAGTTTTCGAATTTGACAGTTACAAAAATAATCAGGGGTTTGAATGTGCTCTAACTTAACCACATCATACAGACTTCGGCCCATGCAAAACCTTGTTAAATTTAACGACGCCGTGTCAAATTCGTTAATCGAGAGCAAAAGTATCGGCCTTAGGAATACCTACTATCCTTCCAGTTATTTCTATGTTCTATGCTTTCATAAACTTAGCTACACCGCCATGTGCTTTCACTTTACATCATTAAAGTAATAATTTGGTTTTTATTTGATTTTAATCCCATTAGTCCCATAATAAAAAACTTGAGTAGCGCCATTTTGAAAAAATCCGCCATCTTGAATATGACGCCACTCCTGATAGGGTGCTGCGGGTCAAATCAAAGTATTATATTTAAGAAAACTTTCTGCCAAGCGGTTTGCTTCTACCACAATTTGAAACGTTTTTCCGTGTACCGCTACGACTAAATATCATATAAACATCCCACTCACTCCTGGTCTTTCCCTCTTATTTGCTCTCGTACGGGATCAGCGACGTGTGGCTGCGGCATATCATCCCCTCCCCGACACGGACGCCTAAAATAACGAACTTTGGCGCCGTCGTCTGGAAAGTATTAATCTTCGATAGAGTATTTCGATTTTTTTTATTATTTTTTCGCACTTTGGTGGCGTCTGGCAAGGCTTTTAACCCGTGAAAACCGTCTGGTATCATTACAGCCTTGTTGATGGCACATTTTTGAATGATATGCTGCAAAAATTGACCATCGGCAAGTATTTCGAATTTCGTGAATTTTTTAATGACTAATTAATTATGCCTACGCTAAACTTCCCCACATATGCTGCCAGACTATGGTTTTCGGTCACGGGGGATAATACTACATCGTTTAAGCAAGAAATTGTCCATCGGCAACTTTTTACGCGAAAAGTTCACTGGCTCTTAGACTGCGACTCGCTTATATAGCAACTCCGAGAGCAACTCTCAAGCTTCTTCAACAGCATACAATATAGAGGCACGTCCGAATAGACATCGTCGATTACCGCCCTACCTGAAAGACTATATTCGTTAAAAGAAGAAGGGAAGAATGTTGTTGTCATCTATGATTGTCATTGCATTAATCAGTTTATTATGTCAAGTTCTTTGTCTAATAAAGCCAATATTTTGATATAATTCGGAAGTTCTATTCATTACAGTTGCTTGACAATTAGTTTTACTTTTCAGCACTCAGTGCGGATACAGGCCTCATCCGCACGGAGTGCCGAAAAGTGTAACTTTGAGCACGAAAATACGTGCCGAAATAGTTATTTTCCTAACAAGTGCGCAAAGTGTTACTTTTTCGCACGCAAACACAGTTTTACGAACGACGCGAAGCGGAGTTCGGATAAGTGTTTGCGTGCGGAAAAGACACTTTGCGCACGTGTTAGGAACAAAATTTTTCCTACGAGCTTCATATCAGGTAGGTAATAACAAAAATTAGCAAAAAACGTTAATTTGTTCAATTATTTTCAATTACCTTGAAGCGAACCTATTCATTCATCAAAAAATTACATAACAAAAAAACAGAAAATTAAAATCTTCGTCAGAGCTGTTCATCTTGAGCGTTTAAATTTGATGCGAAAGAAGTTTGTAGATTCTTGCATGTAAATGGAGAACACAAATCTGACAATGTGTCAAAGTTAATTATATTCAGTGTTTGTATAGATGTTGGCTGATATAGAAACAAAGGAAAAATTTGTCATCATGTGTCAAAGTCGAAAGGTACACTAATTGTTGCTTGACAATTATTTTTACTTTTCGGCACTCAGTGCGGATAAGGCCCGTATCCGCACTGAGTGCGGAAAAGTGCAACTTTGAGAACGGTAATGCCTGCGGAAAAGTAGTACTTTGCGCACGCTCGTAGGAAAAGATTTTTTTTTTTCTACGAGGTCATGAAATTTTATGATTTGATGATGATGATGAAACTAGGAAAAGTACTTTTTCTGCAATTGACAAGAAAACTTGAATTTCTGGTATTTTCAATGGTTGTTAAGAAATTGATGGATAACAGTACGGGAATCACTTTTCCGCACTAAGGATTTAATAGATAACAGTACGGGAAACACTTTCCTGGCCTAGGCTGGGAAAGTGTGCTGATCTAGGAACGACACAAAAGCATTCCTTATTATTTTTTATTCCTGAGCGATCGCACTTGACAAAGCAAAGAGATTCCTTAGCTGTACCTAATGTGGCTATTGTTTTTATGTCCTTTGCGAGAAAGAAAAGAATCGAAATACTTCAAGTTTTTTTTGCTCTCATTCTGTTAATGAAGAACGCCATAAATAAATTGGATACCTTCAACAAAATTTTCTGGATCACACCTCCAAATTTCCCTCGCCTGTTTATGTGAAGTTCTGCTCAGACTCTTCATCGCTTTGGTTACTCTACTTTCGTAATTTTTTCTAATGGCTATTGATTTATCCACAAAATCACCTGCAAAAATTTCTAAAAACTCACAGATTCTCAGACCATAAATTCTACTTGCCTTTATTTCGAAGTCGATTGACTAAATGACTGAATTGTTGCAGAATATAAGCTTTAAGATCGGTCAAAGCAAACATATTATATAAATTGTAAATGGGCTGTTGGGGCGATTGTAGATGGTTTATGCAGGAGTAATCAAACTGGAAATTTTGTTTAAATTAAAATTGTTTCTACAGGAAATCGCAAACAAATCAAGAATAATTTTGATTTGTTTCCGATTTGTTTGGACCTTGAAAATAATTAAGAGGCTCATAAATAATTGTATTACCTTGTCGAGTCTTTCTTGAATTCCATTAGAATCTTTATAAGCAATTTCATATGCGCGGTCAATGGTCTGTTCAGCTCCGCTTTTATTGTTCGTAATATCATAGATAATATCTTCCAATCTCATTCTATCAGGACTTTCTGTCATTACTTCTTGCTGGTAGTAGTCTTCAAAATTCTGATGAAAGGTTTCATTATGATCTTCATAGGAAATTTCATATTCGCGATCAACGGTCTTGTCAGCACCGCTTTTATTGTTCTGAATATCATAGATAATATCTTCCAAGCTCATTCTATCAGGACTTTCTGTCATTACTTCTTGCTGGTAGTAGTCTTCAAAATTCTGATAAAAGTTTTCATTATGATCTTCATAGGAAATTTCATATTCGCGATCAACGGTCTTTTCATCACCGCTTTTATTGTTCTTAATATCATAGATAATATCTTCCAAGCTCATTCTATCAGGACTTTCTGTCATTACTTCTTGCTGGTAGTAGTCTTCAAAATTCTGATAAAAGTTTTCATTATGATCTTCATAGGAAATTTCATATTCGCCATCAACGGTCTTTTCAGCACCGCTTTTATTGTTCTTAATATCATAGGTAATATTTTCTAATGACACTCTATCAGATCTTCCTGCCATAACTTGTTGCTGGTAGTCTTTGAACTTTTGATATAAAGTTTCGATCATTTTTAATTCTGAGTGAAAAGACGGAAATTTTGGTAACCCTCTCATCGCTTCTGATCCGTATAGGAGATCTTGGGGCATCTAGAAATCAGGAATAAGTAAATAAATATTGTATTAATTTGCTATGGTTTGATTATGCTCTCCAGTTATAATTTTAATTTGACTTAGCATCGGTTTATTCACTTTCTGATAAACTGTCAGGTATGCAATCTAACGGATAAAAACGTAATCTGTAATCTCATTGGTCGGCCACTTCTCCGTCGACCGATAGAATTAGGAAAGGTGCATTTTTTCCAGATAGTTACCAGCAAGTTCATCTGAAGATGAATAATTCGGGCCTGAGTATTTTATTATATTGTTTTACAGTATCTAAGTACGAAGATGATATAAATAGGTATATACTGTCACGTTTCCGGGGTGCGTGATAAAAATCTTGGGTTCGTTTATTCCAAAAATCAAAGTCCAATTAACACAAACAATAATTTATTCCACGTTACTACACACTCCGACACTAATTACTTCACTAATTAACTCAAACAACTTAACTCTTTACAACTCTTACAAAATTCACTATCCAAATCGTATCACAGTCAATCTTAAACTTAAAAACCACTAACTAATACCGGCCTTTATATATCCGTAATCCATTCTTGTATAATCCAAAATAAACGCGATAATCTCTTTGGCCGAATAAAGCAGTCTTCTCTGAAATTTTAGGCATCGATTCTGTATGCCATGGCCAAGCGCATCGCGACAATACCTACATATTAACAATATTTCTTGTAATAACACATTTTAAATTTTGCGCACGCGTCAATAATTTACACGCTTGCTCTTTGAAGTATGATAAAAAATACATTGAATTGTATACTATTACTATGATAGATAATTACGTGTTTATTTTGTGTTTTTACTGCCTTTATTAGTTCTAAGTTGATATTGGTCTTTTCCAGTGCTTCCCAAAGCTTTTTCAGCGGAACATTGTCATATGCCTTTTCTAGATCTACAAAGAGTAAATGCAGTTCTTCGTTACACGCTAGTTTCTTTTCCGTTACCTGGGTCAAACTAAATAAGTTGATCTTCCTGCTCCTGCTCCAAAACCGGCCTGTTCTTCTGCCTCACTATCTTTGTACTCGTTCTCTATTCTGGCTTTTATGAGTTGTCCATACACTCTGCTCAGCGTATTTGTTACTGCAATTCCTCGGTGGTTCTCGCATTTGTTTCTGTCTCCTTTCTTATATATCGTTGTTAAATAGGTAGCTTATTTTCCATTCTTCCGGTACTTCATGTTTATCTATGCATGTTTGAAATAGTTTTGTTAAATGTTTGTAGAGTTTATTGGTCCCATACTTTATCAGTTCTCCATATATTTCTCCTGGGCCTGGTGCCCTACCGATTTTCAAGAAGCTACAGTGTTTTTTAACTTCTTGCATAACTCTTATTGGTGATCCTGCAGTTTTTATGTTTCGTGTCTGATCCTTTTCTTCTTTAAACTCTGCCCGCTGTTCTGTCAGTAATTCTTCAAAGAACTTTTCCCATTGCTGAGGTGTTATTGTATGGCTAATATCCTTGGTTTGTGTTTTCCTCCTATTTTTTAGTAATCTCCAACTTTCTGTGTTTTTTTTTTACCTCCCAGATAAGTATTAATATGCGATATGCGCACAGTTTCTTTCCTATGACTCGTTTTTATTCTGTGCTATTTTATTCCGTACTCTTGCTTGTGCTTCTTTATATATTTTTGTCTCGTGTCTTATTTGAACTTAGATACTGTTGGTAGTTCTTCCTTTTATCTGCTATGTTTTTCTCTATTTCTTGATCCCACCAATAAGGTGAGGGTCTTCTTCCGTTTTTTTCGTACTTGCCTAGGGCTTCAAATGCTGCACTGTGAATACTCTCTTTGTTATGGTGGTAATGCATTTCAAGGTTTTGGAAGTTCATACTACTCTGTAATTTTTGATCCAATCTCCTCATGTACGACCCCTTTACGCTTTGCTTTTCTAGAGATTTTGTAATAGGCTAAAATTGCATAACTAATTCTTACCTACTTTCAATTTTATATTCAAGATTTCCTTAAATTTGTCAACATTTTCTCTCTATAAAATTTCATCAATAATCTCAACGGTTGTACATCCTGTAAATTTCCTTATTTTCAATGGGCAAATTCTATTTTCATTTGTTACTAGTTCCTGTTAATCCATGTTTTAATTCAATTTCAAAATCAAAACAAATCAATATTTTGATTCCAATTTTAAATTCGACCATCTGTTTCCATAACAAAAATAATTTATGTGTCAAAAATATTTCGTGGGGTTATGTTCCGAAATCATAATGACCCGTTTTCAAGTGTATGTACAGAACTACTCCGTTCGTACTTACTCTGTTCGGTTATTGAGTTGGTTGATCTTGGTGCAAGTTCTAGTGAACCCCGGGTCGATCATTGGTTCGATAGCCTTTTGAGATTTTCATTATCCTTGCTTTCGGTTTTTTGACTTTTGATTGTCAATAGACACTTTAAGTTAGACAAAATACGTTAACGTTAACGTAAGATTTGACAGCTGCGCATGCGCAGTTGCTTTTCACCAAAAATAGCGTGTTACGTGTCACGTTATTTAACGGGTCTTTGCGTGTACCTTATCCGTAAACGTTCGTTGAACCGAGTGGGCCCGAAAGCCAAATTGCCGGTGTAGACCTCTGCAAAATGTATTTTAACCTTAAAAAAAGGTATAATGTAATTCAAAATAATCAAATACAGAAAATAATTTGTAATTTGTCCTTTTCACAACAAAATTTAGAGGTTAGGTCATGATTGTGAGATATAACGTTAACGTTTACGTGAAAATTTAACTTAAACTGATTTGTGAGCGCCGACGGTCACTCAACGCTATAGTAAAAAATAGGGTTTACGTTTAAAGATTACGTTAACGTGTTTGGTCCAACTTAAAGTGTCTAATAATTTCTGTCAACCGGCGGTCGATTAGTAATGTTTTTAGTATCGTCGATTCTTCTTTAAGCCCTCTAATTTTGCAAACGGATCACTTACTCTATGTTATATTCTTAGGGTTTTGATTGTTTTATGGGATAATTATTTGTTGTTAATATCATTATTCGTCAGCCGTTGCCATTTTTCTGAGTTTGTATTGTTGTGTGCAATTTTTGGTAAGTAAAAATTCTATCGATTAATTTTTTATGTTTGTCGTTATTCTGAATCATCTCTGAGTCTGAATTCCTCCCTTTAGGTTAGCCTATTAATCTTATGTGTAGCACATTTCTTTTTCACATCTGGACGTTGGAGAAATAAGGTCTCTTGGAAGATTGTCTTCGCCCTTGTGGGATTTTGACCTTATATTCTCAATTGAAGTTATAACACATTTAGTTGCCTTTTTGCCTTACGTTTTCGTAGTGTTATAATTTTCGCCGATTAATTCGGATTTTTACAACTCCATGTGTTAAAAGCTGCCCTAAAGAGTAGAGTATTCTCACTCACTCTAGGATATCCAATCCTCGATCCAGATTTCCAGAGATTTTCGAGGCAAACAAACCCTATTTCCAACAGGGTTTTTTCTTGCGAGGGTTATTTTACCACCAATTTTTCCCTCACGGTTACAACAATAGACGTTCAATTATAACCGAAACTGAACTAAAAGGCTATCAGACACCAGCCTAAGTAATTGGACGGTTACTCAGGTCTTCAATCAACTTAACCACAACCAGTAGCCAGGACTAATCTGGTTAATTGTATGAACCACCATCACCAGGAACATTTTGGTATCGTACAAGTTTTAGTTAACATATATATTATTATTGTTTATTTACATTCTGTCCCTATTTGTACACCACAGTGATCACTTTCGGTAGTTCAGGGAGTAATTCATTGCTTGCCCCAGTGTGGCAAATGAATTATTAAATAGGTAACTTAGCTAGACATAACCTGATGAATTTATGTCAACCTACTGGTAGTTCTGGTTACATAAGTGTAAGATAACCGCTCCAACAACTTATTATTCATTTATTTATTTTTTATTTCTCTTCAATTTATATTTACAACTTTTCTATTTATACCTTTTTTTTATTATTCATTTGGTTGAGTTTCGATAACATTATTGCATTTAAATTTAATTGTTCATGACTATAGCAATTATTTCAAAAGTATAGCATTTCTGTATTTGTTAGTTAACGCTTCATGACAAGGTCATTTTATTAATTGCTCATTGACTTGATTATTATTTTTTTTTTTATGTCACTGCCCATATTGTTACATTGTGGACGGTAGCATTTGGTAAATAAACTTACTATAGCACTTGATTTGAATTGACTTTTATTTGGTTTTATGCACACAGCCTGGTTTTTGGTAATATTTTTCTTTTTCTTAATTATTATTTGAATTGTAAGGACCTGATACCATCCTGGAGAGTCCGACTCATCTGTTCAGAGTCGGTGGCGCCCAAAACTAAAAACCCACCCCTACTCTTTGAAATATTTAGTTCTGAGCTAGGGCATAATTTGCACGCACTTCGACCTTCAGTCCTACAATCTCAAGTTCTCCATTCATTTATTTTTATTTTATTTTTTATTTTTTTTTATTTTATTTTTTTTTTCTATTTTATACTTTTCTTTTTTTTATTTTTTTTTTATTTTTTTTTTCTTATTTTACTTTTTTTTAATAAACTTTTTTTAATCAGCGAAAAAGCGTGGCAATTTTAGGTTGTATTTCTCACGCACATTATTGTCTTCTTGTTTTTTCATTCTGTTTTCTTTTGCGGTATTTCTGCGCGGGATAAAGATTTTTGTTGTCAGGAGGTAGTGATCGCTACCACAAGTCGCTTTCCTATATGCTCTCACATTCTGGAATTTTATCTTCAAGCTCTGTTTTGCGATAGTGTAGTCAATAATCGATTTTTGTTGTCTGGTTTCATTTTTCCACGTGTACCTACGTATTTCTTCATGCTGAAAGTACCCGTTTAGGATTTTTAGGTTATTTTGTTGGCATATTGCTATAAGCCAATGAGCCTTTCTCCATTGTTATCCGTTATATTCTCTAGGTATGATGGCTGTTTGCTTATCAATATTTTGTGGTAGAAAAC